ACGCCACCACATCATGACTTAACAAGCGGTGGGTCGGTGCACGCCTGGGATCCGAACCTGCAGATCCCGGGCCGCTGCAGTGGAGCATGCGCACTTAACTGCTGCGCCACCGGGCTGGCCCCCACATTTTCAATTTTAATAGATGTTGCCAAATTGCTCTCCAAAGTGGCTAAAGCTGACCTTTTTAAGATAGCCATATATAGGATTTTTTCAGGCAAATCTAAACGTGTAAAGAATTATGGAATTATTATTAAACTAGGTGAGTAATACAACAGAGATTTGATCTATGAAATATTGATTGAATATCTTTTCTAAACAGTAGTGAGAAATGCAGGGCAGTATTTATTTTTAGTATACTCAGAGGAAGTTTTTCTTGGTCACTGAGAATAGCACTGTAGAGTGTCAATATTAAATGTATCGGAAAATTTATTTTTGTTTGGTGTCTCATGGGAAGTAGAGGTGTACAAGTTATGCAAATAAACTTTTTTTTTACCATCAGGGGAATTTCATTTTTCTTAAATTCTACCTTCTGCAAATTTTTGTTAAAACCTAAGCCATGTTCCACTGACACCCAATTTGTAAAAAAAATGATGAGGCATCTAATGTTAAAAAAAAAAATTTCAAAGGCTGATAGTTTATAGGTCACTTTATAAGTGATCAAGTTTATTTTAAGCAATTTTGTGTTGTTTTTTGATTGCAGAATATTAGAATTGTTCAAGTGTAGCTGATCTAAAACTTTAGCTGCACTAAATTTTGGCAGCGAGATGTACATAAATATAAAAAACTGAGTTTTACAGTTGAAGGACCAAGATGCAACGATATTAACTGGCTGTTTCTTACAATGGTTTTGCACGTGGTGATTTGCACATTCTGTGCTAGTAAAATGAAATGTGACCGCAGTCCATTGTTACCTGTCTATTTATGGTGGAGGGCTTTGGGCGACCAAGTGCTAATCTAGATGAGATTTCATCCTGCTGCTTGGCCACGGCAGAGCCTGCACAGGTGCACCCAGGGAAAGCAGATGGGGTAGGTCAGGGGCTGAAGCACGCTACCATTCAGGAGACATGTCTGGGCAGTAGTAATGCTATTGATGCAACATGTACCACAGAACAAATGGAAATTGTTTTTTATTTGTTGTTAGAAGACTTTCCAGCCACCAGTGGGGCTAACTGAGGCAACTGTGTCTTCAGTAGAGGAGAAGATCTGCTGTATTTATTTGTGTCAATAGCTAGGCTCCCAGCAGGTAATGGTCTCTGAAGCTGTTGATCCAGGTGTGAATATGTTTGAATGTGGAATTCTACATGGGGGGTCCTTTTCGAGCCGTTTGGATTACTGACTTTACTTGAATCACTTTAAGCAGTAAAGAACTTAAAATAATCTAATTCAGCTATTTATTTGATAGCAGAAAACGAGACCTAGGAAGGATCACTTATTCATGCATTCATTTGAAAAATAATTTTTTTTTTTGTGAGGTAGATTGGCCCTGAGCTAACATCTGTTGCCTATCTTCCTCTTTTTGCTGAGGAAGATTAGCCCTGAGCTAACGTCTGTGCCCATCTTCCTCCATTTTGTATGTGGGATGCCACCATAGCATGGCTTGGTGAGCAGTGTGTAGGTCCACTCCTGGGATCCGAACCTGAGGAACCCTGGGCTGCTGAAGCAGAGTGCACGAACTTAACCACTACACCACTGGGCTGGCCACGACAAATAATTTTTTTTTTTTTGAGGAAGATTGGCCCTGAGCTAACATCTGTTGCCAATCTTCCTCTTTTTTTCCCTTTTTTCTCCCCAAAGCCCCAGTAGATAGTTGTATGTCATAGTTGTACATCCTTCTAGTTGCTCTATGTGGGATGCCGCCTCAGCATGGCTTGATGAGCAGCGCATAGGTCCACGCCCAAGATCCAAACCAGTGAACCCTGGGCCGTGAAGGGGAGCATGCAAACTTAATCACTACGCCATCAGCCTGGCCCCCCAAAGATAATTTTTAATGCTCACTCTGTGCAAACAATGACCTAATCATGAATATGTCAAGTGACCATGTAATTTATCATCCAAACCCAGACACTTCTGAGAGTGAAAAGGGGTACTACTACTAATAATACCAAGACATCAAACAAAAGCCCAAACTGTCCCGGGCAAACCTGAATGTAGAGTCACCTTAAGACATAATCCTAACCTTCAAGGAGCCCAACATCTAATGGGAAGGAGAGATGTGTAACCACAAGATGGGGATCATCATGCATTGCAATAAGTGCAAGAGAAATGCCGAGGAAGGGTGCCCCTGACCCCATGAGGAAAGATCTCTCAGAGAAAGCGATGCTGCAGCTGAGGGCCAAGGGGTGAGTCGCAGTTTATCAGGTGGAGAAGGAGGGAAAGGGTGTTCTCAGCAGAAGGAAGAGAATATACAATGCCTTAGCACTATTTTGATGCTCTGGGGGAGCTGCAAGTGGTTTCCCCCAATCAGAGCGCATGGCGGGAGGAGAGGAGGAGCTGAAACAAGGCCCGTGGGGACCAGGTTATCAGGGCCTTGGCTGGTGCGCTGAGTGTGGCTTTTATCCTTGTGAGCATGAGGGAGCCACCGAAGGATTTTAAGCGGGGCCATGACGTAATCAGATTTGTGCTTTAGAAAGTTCACTCTGACAGCAAGTGGGAGATGGATTGGAGGAGGAGGGAGCAGTCAAGAGGCTTCTGCATTCAGCCAGATGAAAGAAGACAAGACCACAATTAGGCAGTGATAATGGGGATGGACCTTACGAGGCAGAGTTGAAAGCATTTAAAGAATATTGGCTCATGTAACTAAAAAATTCAGAGGTTATGCCTGCATTAAGCACAGCTGCACACAGGAGCCCGAACAACGCCATTAGGATCTGGATTCTCTCTTATCTCAGTTCAGTGTCCTCTGTGACAGGTTCTACCTTGAGAATTTATATCCCCTCAGCTGCAAATCCAGTGGGAAAGAACACCTGCCCTGGTACTCAGAGCATCATCCAGTCAGTCACCCAAGGGAATGGGAGGCTCTGATTGGCCAAGCTGGGTCACATGCTCTAGCCCTGAGTTGGGGATGAGGCTCCTCACAAATTACACCGACTTGAGAGAAGAGGAAGTGGATTCAACAGGAAAATCAGGGGCTTTTGCTGGAAAGAGTGGAATACATATTGGGGAAGTGAAGAACAAGCTTCCACCATGGAGGCCGAGCTGGGCTGACTCCCAGGACGCTGCTCTGACCGCTGCCCCCTGGCAGCTCTGGAGAGGGCCACAGAGCAAGGTCAGGAAAAGGTCATCCTTAGCCAGGAGGGAGTCTTATCATCTTTCTCTCAATTTCCATAGAGGAGGAGAGTCCCTTTGTCTTCCTGTGAGGAGAGGGGAGGGACTGACTTGACTGAGTTGAGTCCAGGACATTTGCTGAGAATATAGACGGAACTATTTTGCCTCAAAAGGGAGAACAGGCTTCAACCCCTCTCTCTGACCCATGTGCAGTTCCTCCTCCATTTTCTCTTCCCAAGAAGTGGTGAGGTGATCACAAGGAGTTAGGGTGATACCAAGAAGCCTCCGTCTTTACCTCAGCCCTAGAGTGCAGGCTCTGCAGCCGTCTTGTCTTTGGGTGATTTCAAGGTAAATTGCAGACATCAGTACACTTCCCCCTAAATACTTCAGTGTGCATGTCATTAACTGGAGTTCAATATTTGTTCACAGCTTTTTCTTTTGAGGTAAAATTTGCTTAGGTTGAACTGCAGAAACCTTGTGTGTATTCACTGAGTTTTGACACATGCATACACCTGTGTAGCCCACACCTGGAGGACTTTTTATTACCTGAGAGTGACCAGAGAAGCCAGTGGCCCCTGCCTGAGGTTTTATCCAAGGGGGTGGGGGAGAACTAGCCCATCAGAGTGGGTTTCAGGGAACAGCGAGGTGGAGGGAGGATAAAGCTCTCTTTACACCCCAGCAGACCTGCCTGTTCAGGGTCATGGTTACATTGTACAGTGAGCCCCTCAGGACTCTGACGCAGAGAAGTGCTCAGCCACTGTCGGCTCCTCTTATTGTTGCTGTTGCTGTTATTGTTGTTATCCTCATCTGACTGGCAATGCTTGGTCTACCTTAATTGGTCAAAACCCGGTAGGAGAGGGGTGAATGGCAGAATCTGGACAACACACCTTACCCTGAACTTCCTAACATCTCTGAGCAAATAACAAATAGTGTTAGTTGTGAAAGTCAACTGACCCAGGGAGTTCACAGGTTGCCTATCCAGCAGCTATGCCCTCCTTTTTCCTTGATGACAAAGCCCACCTCCAGCCAAAAAGGCTGAAAATACCCAATGTTCACTCCCCAGCCTTTCCTATAGCTGGGCATGTGAACCAATCCAGACCAATAAAATATTAGGGATAGTTGCTGGGGGCTTCTGGGAAAGATTTTCTCCCTAATAAAAACAGCTACGTGGAAGGAAATGCCTCTTTCCTTCCTGATTTTAAATATTATCATGTGGGGATGTGATGTATGGAGCTATGGCAGCTACCTTGCCACCATGAGGGTAAAGCTAAGAGAATCAGAGAAAAGTCAGCCCATACTCCTGCATCTTAGAGCTGCTGAATTCTGGAGTGCTTACCTCTAGACTTTTTGTTTTGTGAGGTCATAAATTCCTCACTGTTTGTTACCTTTGGTTGGATAGTCTATTCTTTGCAGCCTAAAGGATACTAACTGATACACATGATTTGTAAAATTTATTGCTGGTAATACCAGAGCATTTTCTGAAAACAATCTTATTTGTATCACAAAGAAGATCAAACTGTTAACTATTTTAAAGAAAACTATAATCCACTGATTTGTGATATGAGTAAACCACCAGTTCTCAAAACAGTTAAGGCGGCAGAACAAGAGTTGTTTTAAAATGATGGTTTTCAATATTTGTAGGGATTTCAACATCATCATAGTCATCTTCAGGCTCCATGCAGCTTGGGAGGGAAACTGTCTTCCTATTTCTAACTTTATCTATTTTCTAACTTTATCTATGTAGCTGTTTGCTGACGTGGGGTTTCCTGTGGGGCTAGAATACACAAAGAGGTCCTGTGAAATCCTGGTATATTTAATTCTATCATCCCAACTGGTAACAATTTTTTTCACCAAACTGGTAAAAACATTGCTTTATTATAGGTGCCCAGCATAAAATCTCAACCAAATTACCCACACCCAGAGAAAAATGGCTTCTTTGTTTTTGTCAAACTGATTGGGAGATTTTCCATTAAGTTTCAACATCCGATAAGTATTTATTAAGTGCCAGGGTTTGTGCTGGATACTGGGAATATAGCAGTGAGGCAGAAAAGTTCTATCCCAAAAGAGTCCCCAGATTAGAAAGGAGGATGGAAAAGTAGTCAGGCAATTATAACGCAGAGGGAGAAGTCTTTCCATAGGGCCAAGTACGGGGAGCGGTGAGATCCCAGAGGAGTTGACTCATTCACTCATTTGTTCTTTCAACATATTTACTGAGCATCTCCAAAGTGCCTGGGCACTGTGCTAAGAACAGAGAAAACAATAGGGGGAAGGGAGACGCAGTCCCTGCCCTCACGTTGCTCTCAGTCTAATGGAGGAGAAAGACAGGTAAACGGGTAATTACAGCGTGCTAACGCTATGAGAGGAGAGCATCTAAGAGGGCACCAGACCCAAATTTGGGGTGGTGAGGAAGGGATCTACGCAGATGATCAGAAAGTGGGGAAGAATGTTCCAGACAGAGAGGAGAGTACTGTGCATAGCCACAGGGACAAGAGAGACCACAGACAAGGTCACTTCAAATGGCCGGAGCAAAAATTTGGGTGGAGTGGAAGTTGCAAGGGGGTGGGGCAGGAGAGAGTTGGCAAGAAATAACCGGTGACCAGATCCTGACAAATCTTGCACCCCATGTTAAGGAGTTTGGGCTTTTTCGGAGGATATTGGGTAAAGAAGAGATTTAAGCAAGGGAATGAAGTGGTCAGATGTTCACTTTAGAAAACGGAGAGCTACTTGAGAGACGCAATCCCCAGGAGGTGGGAACATTGGAAAGACGGTCACAGACAGTGTGCTCGTTTCTGACTTCAGCAATTAAGAAGATAGCAGAACACAAGAAGTTTGGAAGCGGGGTATGTAATCAGTTCCTTTCAGTGTTTGTTGAACTTGAGGGGCTGTGGGAGAGTCATATGGGGATGTCCTGGAGGCAACCTGGTCTGGAAATGAGGGGAGAGAGCTCAGCTGGAGTCTGCAATTTGGAAGTCATCAGAGCAGAGGGGGCGCGGAGCCCACGGGCATCGGCGAGATCACTCATGAGTGTTTAGAGTGAGATGAGGGCAGGGACGGGGACAGAACCCTGAGGAAGACCAGCACTAAAGAGTGTTCCAGAGAGAGAGGGGGGCTCCAAACAAGACTGAGATAGGCCAGACAGGTGGTAGGAGAACAAGGAGACAGCAGGGTCCCGGAGACCAAGGAGCAGTTAACATTTACCTGGAAATTGCTTTTAACTTTTGCCAGAGATGTGGATGGTTTATAGAAAATTTCTGAGGAGAGCATACATGTGAAATACTTCTATCCTTTAGCTCCCCCCCCCCCCCATAGTTTGGAAAAAGAGCCCTCTCTTTGGCTGGTGGAATATCACAGTTCCATAAGAACGTAGTTAGAGAAGCACCGGCCTAAAATAAGGAAGTATTAACACGATACTGGAGTCTCCGTGGAGTCTAGAAAGAGAGAACCCCGGAGGAGGCACATGTCCCCGCTGGTCCGGCAGTGGTTTTGGGAGGAAGCTTCAATATAGCAGGAACACAATTCCCAATTCTTGAGGAGGAGCTCAGTCCAAGGGTCACTCCTGGGCCTTTTAATGGTTTTTCCCGCAAGCTTGCTCTTTAGCTAGATTTCCCAGGAGTTGTTTAGAAATCAGCATCTTGTGAGTCTAGTTAGAAAGCATCCAGTCCTAGGGCTCTAGTAAATGAACTTGAAGGAACTGATGAGGTTCAGGAGCCTGCAAAGCTGACCTGGGCCTCTTGTTTAACAGACAGCAGTCTGCTTCCTTGGCATCTCATTAGCTGCAGCACGTCGCACCGGAGTTTCTGCCTCTAGACACTCAGGGACAGGGATCTGGAAGGAAGGGGCTTGGCGCTGTTCACATAGCACTTTATCTAAGGGAGGAAGCAGTAATGAAAATGGTGGGGGAGGCCGCTGAGCCCCCTGAACCCTCACCTTGAATTTGCCGTTTAACCGCCCCTCCATTCCTATTCCCCATGATTTTTCCTGGGGAAACCTACTTTTCCTGTAGCTCCCCCAATGCACATATTGCAAACTGACATCCCCTCGTGTAACTTCTGTCCTTTGTTGACTGTTACAGTGCACCCGGGGAGCACAGGAGAAAACCTGGGTGAGAACTGGCGCCTCTATGGTCAGTCTGGCCGAGGTCACTGAGAGGTGCTGGGGTGTGGCTGTGTGCAGGTGGGGAGAGTTCACATGAACGAGAAGCGCTCCCGCCCTTGAAGAACCCACAAGGCTTGACGGAGTTACTTGCTCACAAGAGCACTCAGCTGGAACTACCACCCACAGCCCCTCAATGTGTGACGTGGGTGGGGACGGTGGGGACAAGACTGTGTGCTCCGTGGGGGCCGTGCTAGGGATGGGACCCTGGGAGGCTCTGTACAATCAAACCCCAAGATTTAAGATCACTTAGAACCAGACAAACAAGAGAGGGAAAGGGGGAAGAGTGCCGAGAACTGAGTGGTTTCTCACGGGTGGGAGCCATGGAACCCAGAGGTCCTCTCCATGGAACTCGCTCAACAGAAGCTCGAGGTCTGGCTCGTCTCAGTCTTCAAGGCTGAGCATCTGCGTCTTTCCTCTGGCTGCAGCCATCTGATCAACGATGCTCCTGTGTCTAAGGTTTGGGAAGTGCTTATCTTACAGAGCTTCATAACATTGCCACAAGCTTTCGGGATCGGATACCTATGAAGTTCAACCCCTCTTGATTGTTTTAAAATAAGTTGTGTGAACCCTCTTCAGCTTGCCAAAAAGGAGAAACGTTTGTTTCTAAGTGATGCTTTTCTGTATTTGCAGGGATGTCAACATCGTCATAGTCTTCTTCAGGCTCAATGTAGCTCGGAATGGAAGATTTCTTCTTATTTTTAACCTTTTTGAGCAGTGTGTATGTAGCTGGTGGCTTACTTGGGGTTTCCTGTGGAGCTAGAAAACACAAAAAAGTCCTTAGATGCAAAGCTATTGTGTGTTTACATAATTTTGACCAAGTGGCTCAGCATGATTTTCATGGATTTTGGTGATCTTCCCACCTCTTGGTGGACCAGATCTCCATTTTATAGAGAAAACTGTAGCTCAGACATGACACAGTCTCGAGATCACCCCAGTGAGTAACTGGCAAATGGTATACATCTTAACTCTGCGTCCCTCTGCCTAAGACTGCACTGGAGTGGGAACCATGAAACAGAAACTTAGGTGAGAAACTGACCAGAGCCAGTAGCCAAATGAGTAGTGTTGGGTTTACAGATCCTAATTCTCATAAGGAAGTGATACAAACCATATTTCCTTTTTGGCACATCCCACTCAATGACTTACACTGTTCTCCAGAATTATCTGTAATTGCTCATGTTCGAATCTCTGCTAAGAAGAAAGGGGACAGTGGTGTTTTCAAAAGGTGGAATTAGTGGAGAATGGGTACATTGCAAAAGGACTAAAGTGACCAGAGGAGGGATGGTGAAATAGCTCAGCCCCACCTTTGATGAGGATTGGAACCACCTCTACCACAATCTCATCTTTTCCTAAGAGAACCTGAAAAACTACCACCATTTCATTTCCTGCAGAGCTCTGCAGTTAGACAGGTCCAAGATCATATTCAGGCTTCAGCAGTCACTAGCTGTGTGACTGTGGGTAAGTCACTTAACTTCTCTGTGCCTCAGTGTCCTCATCTGTCAAAGGAGAATAATAAGGTACCTGCCTCATAGAGTTGTTGAGAGGATTAAAGGAGATAATGCCTGTAAAGAGCCTAGCATGGGGCCTGATACACAGTACTCAATAAATATTGGGTAATGTTAATATTATTATTTATCCATTCAATCAAAACATTTTTATTAATTATCTACTAAGCTCCAGGCACTGTTCCTAGTGGTGGGTAAACAGTGGTGAACAAGACAAGAAAGTTTTCTATTTCCTGTAGAGTTTATATTCTAGTGGAGGAGAGAGATAATAAACAAATGAACAATAACTAAATAAGACAATTTCGGGTAATTCCCATAAGTTTCATAGAGAAAATTAGCAGGATTACTTTAGATAGGGTGGTGAGGAATGGCCTCTGAGCCTCTGGCCTGACATTTGAGCTGACACCTGAAGGATGAAGTAAAGCCAGCTTTGCGAAGAGCTTAAGGAAGAACATTCCGGTCAAGGGAACCAGGCAGTTTTTCTCTTTTTTTTTTTTTGAGGAAGATTGGCCCTGAGCTAACATCTGTTGCCAATCTTCCTCTTTTTCTTTTTTCTCCCCAAAGCCCCAGTACATAGTTGTGTATACTAGTTGTAGGTCCTTCTAGTTCTTCCATATGGGACGCTGCCTCAGCACGGCTTGATGAGCGTTGAGTAGGTCCACGCCCAGGATCCGAACTGGTGAACCCGGGGCCTGCGAAGTGGAATGCGTGAACTTAACTGCTACGTCACCAGGCTGGCCCCCAGGCAGTTTTCTGATAGGAAGTGTGAGAGGCCCAGGGACACCCCACGTTCTTTTTCACTCATGCTCCAACCTGGGATTTGAATATGGATTTACACACTGAATGTCAGGAGCATTGGTACTTATTCTGCCGGTTTTTTAACTTTTTCATCTCTTTTAAAGAGGATACTGCCATCTGCAAATCCTAGTGTTACGGACTCAATGTTTGTGTCCCCACAAAATTCATACGTTGAAGCCTTAATCGCATCACCACCACCCCCCCATGGCTGTATGTGGAGATGAGGCCTCTAAGGAGGCAATTAAGGTTAAATAAGGGTTGGGCCCTAGTACCATAGGATTAGTGTCCTTTTAAGGAGAGACATCAGAGAGCTATCTGTCTCTCTCTCTTCTCCAGCCCTCACCCTCGCCCCCCATGCACGCACAGCAAGAAAGCAGCCCCCTGCAAGCCAGGAAGAGAGCCCTCCCTAGAAACTAAATCTGCTGGCACCTTAATCTTGGACTTCTAGCCTCCAGAACAGTGAGAAAAGAAATTTCCATTGTTTAAGCCACCCTGCCTATGGTATTTTGTTGTGGGAAGTCTGAGGTGACTAAGACATTTGGACAACTGTGTTATCCCACCCCAAATGAAACTGTTATCAGCAAAATTTACTCACCGGCATGTTCTGAAGAAAGCAAACCCCGGGGTGGCAGAGGGGGTAATTGAACTGACGACTGGTTAGTAACGTTCCTGGAGAGAGAGAGACGGGAGGAGTCGGGTTCTGGTTTTGACCATGCCATAGTCAGTGGATTTAAAGGAAAACATCAAAGAAAATGGACAGGATTGAACATTTGAATCCTGGTCCCTAAAAGGTGGCAGCACTTCCTTCCCTTTCCAGGTCTGGCATCCCATTTGTAACTGGCACTCTAAAGAAACCATTTCCTCTAGCCCAGGGAGACACTGGCTTTGAGGGGAGGGAGTTGAAGCCCTGGACCTTAGAGCATGGAGCACACCTCCCTTTGTTCACTTGAGCTGGATTAGGATGCGGAGGCAAGCACCAAGTGTATTTTTATTTGCAAACAGAGGTACTCCTAAAGCTATACGTACACACACCATGTGACAGCAATTCTACAACTGGATTTATACTTTACCAAACACGTGCTTGCCTATGTTCACCAAGACATGTACGAGCATGTTCATAGCAACACTATTCATAACAATCACAGACTGGACACTGCCCAAGTGTCCAGTGGCAGCAGAATGGATAAATTCATCATGGTATACTCCCACAGTGGATGACTCTGTAGCAATGAGAATAAACAGTCTACAACCACACACGATGAATCTCACAAAAAACGATGAGCAAAAGAAGCCAAACACCAAATAATACATACTGTATAATTCCATTTATATAAAGCATAAAAACAGGAAAAAACTAACCTATAATATTTCAGATAGTGGTTATCTGTGGGGTGTAACGGCTGAAAGGGAATATAAGGTGTTGGGGTGCTGTGCTGGTAATTTTGTTTCTTGATCTGGGTGCCAGCTACCTGGGTCTGTTCAGTTTGTGGAAATTCACGGAGTTGTACTCTTACCAATAGTCAGCCCTGGTGGTCTAGTGGTTAATATTTGGCGCTCTCACCGCCTCAGCCCAGGTTCATTTTCCGGTCAGGGAACCACACTGCCCATCTGTCGGTTGTCATACTGTGGCAGCTGCGTGTTGCTGTGATGCTGAAAACTATGCCACTGGTATTTCAAATACCAGCAGGGTCACCCATGGTGGACAGGTTTCAGCGGAGCTTCTGGACTAAGACCGAGACTAGGAAGAAGGATCTGGCCACCCACTTCCAAAAAATTGGCCATGAAAAGCCTATGAATAGCAGTGGAGCATTGTCTGATAGAGCGCCAGAAGGTGAGAGGATGGCGCAGAAAGACTGGGCAGGGTTCTGCTCTGCTGTACACAGAGTCAGAATCCACTCAATGGCAACAACAATAAACTCTTACTACATGTACTTTTCTGTATTCATATCATACTCGGTGAGAAGTTTTAACAAAAAGATAGACTCCAAGAAAGGCTCTTTACCTAGACCCCCATTTCCCTTTATGTACTCTGTTTTCCAAACTGGTACGAGATTCTTCTGAGCCAAGTTTTGGCCTCCTGTATGTGGTTAAGTCCCCCTGGGAATGCATAAGCATTTTTAGGTTGTTGGGATGAGTGAAGAAGGGGACACGTGGCAAGAGCTCCATTTGTGGCCTCTCTCCACCCCTCCATGGCTCTTCCCAGGAGAGGAGGGAAATTTATCTGGCTTTGGGAAAGATCTGGCTGCTCCCACTTTCTCCTCCAGAGCCAGCCTGACTGCAGAAATATATATTCTGCTCGGGTCTTTGTCATTCAGAGAAAGGACCGTGCAGGAAAGTCTGCCTTGTTTTGAATTAGGAAACGCGCTTGCCCCTGGAGAAGAGCCACATTCTGCAATGCCAGTTTGATTCTCGATAAAGGCAATATTTTGGTTAGCTAACTGCATGACACATTTGTCTTACTCCTCTAGGAGATCAGAACTGGTGGGGAAGAGGTCTATTATTTGCTGGATCTCTTGAGCCCCAACAAAAGTCATTTTAGAAAAGCATAGGTTTTGTTTCAGATAGTGTATACATTCCAAAGAAAGGACTGGCCCTTGACCAGATCCTAGGAGATAACCTCTGAGCTCTCGGAATATCCTGCCTGATAAGAGTGTCTTTGTGTACCTAGGGCCTTGGGCCAGCCAGATAGTTTGTGCTAACAAGCTGATTGATGGAGAATGCCTGCTTGTGTTTGCCTGGGTCCCTGGGTCATGCTGTATTGGTTTGGCCTCTGGAGGGGCTAGAGACTCAGTAGCTAAAGTAGGTCGTTTGGTCGCTTTGTGCTAATGTGACTGACCCCCAGTAAAAACCCTAGAAACCAAGGCTCGGTTGAGCTTCTCTGGTTGGCAATGCTTCACACGTCGATGCTGGGAAATCAGCGCTGTCCACGTGGCTCCACTGGGAGAGGACAACTGGAAGCTTGCTCTTGGTCTCTCCTGGATGCCATCCTGTGCGCCTTTCCCTTTGCTGAGTTTAATCCGTATCCCTTCATTGTAATAACCCATAACTAAATATAAGAGCTTTTCTGGGTCCTGTGAGTCCTTCTAGTGAATCATCGAGCCTAAAGGTGGTCTTGGGAACCCCGACACAGATAGCAATCATAAAGCCCCGAAGACAGCACAAAATGCAAAAGTAAAGCCAATGGCATATTTTTGTTCAGCACAATTGCTTTTAGAGGACTAGACTTGTACTCCATCTGAAGAAAAGAAAAGTCGATCTAACCCTGAATGGTGGGCCCAGAACACAGCACCTGACCTGTGACCTCTATCAAATCAGATGAGACGAGGAGGACCTGGGGAGCAGAGAGAGCCAGGTGGTGCCCTGCACCCCCAAAGCCCTGAGACCTCTCCCCTTAAAGGGGGGAGAGCTGGCAGACACGACATTTCACTGGCTCCATGGTAAGATTGGGCGTTCCAGTCTCACCAACACGGGAGTGGAAGTAAACAGGCAGTTCTCAGAATTAGAAAGCAGAAGGATTTCTCCCCACTTACTCATACATCTTTTCTTCCTCTCTTTGATTTTGTTTCACAGGCTTGGCAATTTTCAATTTCTTGCCTAAGGAAAAAAATAAGCAGATTCATTTAGGAAGAATTAGCAAAAGTTGTGATTTTAGAGTTTAGAAGTCCTCAGAGACAAGGTGGGTTCAGGACTTTTGGAAGAAGAACCACCAAGAGGAAATAGCCTTAAGGACACAGAGCACTAAGTGGTGGAGTCAGAACTGACCCCAGGCCGTCTGACCACAGAGCCTCTCCCTGAGCCTTTCACTGAGCCAACGAGGGCAGGCCCCGCGGGCTGTGTTTATTTCCTCATTGCCTAGTATTATGCCTGGCGCGTAGTTGACACTCAGAAATGTTAGCCGAATAAACAACCAAAAGTGTGGTTGGGAGGAAATGAGATAAAGAATGGGCAAAGCAGTTTGTAAACTGTGACGTGCTGGATATATAAGTTATTAATTATAACCTGCTTTTTAATAGGAGTGGGTCAAGATAAAAGGTTTTGTTCAGGGTCATACTTTTGTCCATATCTGAGAATGAAACATTTTAAGAAGGCAAATGGATAGAGGACTACAGGGGCCAGAATACACTTTTTGTGTTAATAAAAACCAATTACCATCAAGCGGTAGAGGGGAAAGAACATTGAACAGGAAGCCCAGCAGACTCAAGTGCTGGTCCCAACTCTGCCACCAACCCCTATGAGACCTTAACCAAGGCTTCACCTCTGTATGGATCTTAATTTTCTTATTATCTAAAAAGAGATCGAGAAGAATGACACGAAGATTTCACTTCTTGTGCAGCCCTGACCTTTCGGCAGTGGGCTGAACAGGAATCTGAGGCTGTGTCTAGATGCAACGGGAGGACAGTGCCTTGATCACAGAGGGATGCCTGCCCAGGGTGCCCCAGGGGAACGTGGCTGTCCCTCTCAGCATGTTTACCACCCCCAGGTGTACTCCAGGCTTAGGTCATCATGTAAAGGGATAAGATCTCAAGAAAACACACCATCGAATCAAAGATTTCATGTTTCTGGAAATGAATAGCAAAATGGAAAACCCACCTGTAGATCATCTAAACTTAGTGTTAACCTCTAGGTAGCTGCTTATTTACGTCTGAGGATGCCAAGAACCTCTGGCCAAGGTGGATATAATACCAGAAATTCAGAGTATTATCTTAGAGTAGGCAATCATGGTGGTCAAACATGTTGATTATGGATTGAGTCCATTTTTCCTGCCTTAAGACAGTTGTTTTTTAAACCACTTTATTGAGGTATGACTGACATACAAAAAGCTGTATATCTTTAATATATACAAGTACATAACTTGATGAGTTTGAAATCAAGACAGTTTTTGACATTTCATGGATTTGTGCTCTTTCAAGTCCCAGAGATAAGATGCTGTGATCAGAAGCCACTTTGGAGGGAGAAAACACTGGAGCATAGTGTGCCTTGAAACATTCTGCTTTCACCCAAGTCCTTGGGGCTGGAAGAGTTCTTGGAGATTAGTTAACCTTCCTCCCTTCACCATGCAGATAGGAAAACCGAGGCCAAAAGATACAAGTTAGTAGCAGGGCTAGGACTCAAACCCAGAATGTGTGACGCTGAATCTAAAATTCAGCCTCTACAGGCACAGGACTAACCTTGCCCTAAAGGAGCCCTGTGCACTGATAACCACCACTCATCTGCCCCCCCTCCACCTGCCCAGGTGAGATGGCCATTACCTTGTCTAACCAGCTGCCTACAGACACAGTACATGATGACGCCCAGGCCCATGGAGACAATGATGATGGTCACAGCTAAGATGATCCAGAAATTGTCCCTCCACCAATCCATTGCAGTGGAATCCTGAGAAGAATGGAGATAGAGGAATGAAGCATGAGTGAAAGGCATCCGGGGTTAGAGGGTGGCAGGGACAGTTATCTACCATGTTGTGGAGATAACATCTGCTTAGAGATCAGGCAGACACTGGTTCACAATCAGACTCTGCTCATTAGCAGCTGGGAGACCTCAGGCAAGTCATTTAACCTTCTCTGAGCCTCTGTGTTCTCATCTGCAAGATGGGTGTGATACTGTCTACCACCATTTTACAGGGGATTTATGAGGATTAGAGATAAGATAGGTACTTACTAGGTGTCACCGACTAATTGCCCCAAGGAACTCAAGAGTGGGTTTGGAAGCATTTAACTGTTTTTCCAAATTGTTTTTTTCCTTTTGTTATGTTAAGGAATGCAATCACCAACCACCCTCAACCAGACCAAGCCTCACCATAAGAGCTATGTCTATGACCTTTGCCTTATTTTTAATGCTAAGATCTCTCCAGGAGGAGCTTAGGCCTTATTACCATAACCTGCAGTGTGTGTGGAAACATGTTTTCCAACTGAGCCTGCGCAAATGAATACCCACCTCTCCCTTTTGAATATTCATTTCCCACCCAAAATAAAAGGTCCCTGCTTCCCTTTGTTTGGGGAGAGAGCCATGACTTTGGAAATTATTCCGCATGGTCTCCTATTTGCTGCAAATATACCTTACTTCATGTGACAACTACTTCTGGTGGAGAGTCTGATTTAACTGGCCAGGAGGCTAGCCCACTTTGGTTTTGGTAACATAGGTAGTCTAGAAATGGCAGACAGAATCACTGCTCTTTCTTATATCGTCAAACATGCAGCAGGAAGAGGAAATGCCATTTAAAGCAATAACTGACTGTAGTTGTTTTTATATCAAAGGGGTGACAGACAATTCATAACAGGGAGAGAGAATTTTGAGAGCTCTGTTTTTTTTTTTCTTCTTGAGGTGGGGGTTAGAAAAATACCCTGACGGGTCTCTTTGAGTGAGGCGTGGTCAGAAGGGGGAAGGTAAAGACACAAAGCAAACTAGCTGGCAGCACAAGAAAAGTAACAGGAATTTTGGGGCTGAAGACTGGCCGGCTAGAGAGGAGGGTCTGGGAAGAGGGAGGCAGCAGAGGGAGAGGTCAAGAAGAGAGGAGATCTGAAATGTTCTCCCCATAAAAAAAGAAATGGCGATTATGTGGTGGGATGGAGGTGTTAGCTAACCTATGGTGGTAATCATATTACAATATATAAGTGTATCAAATCAGCATGTTGTACACCTTAAACTTACACATTGTTATATGTGAATTATATCTCAATAAAGCTGGAAAAAAGGAAGAAAAGAAAAAAGAAGTAGAAGAGAGCAGAATGTCCCCACAGTAGAAAATGACCAGTGCATTTGAAGGAGTTATGTCTAATATTCAGTCTTCAGTTGTTGCCTGTATAATGCTGTGTTGCAATCTTCCGTTACCATCAAATCTTCAATTAAATTGCACAACAAAAGCTTGTATGAACAGAGCCTGGGGAGAAATGACATGTGTGCAGTGGTTTTCCAAGGCAGGGGTGACACCTGGGCAAGTGGAGAGAAGAGCAGCTGCCAAGTGCCAAGTGGCAGTGGGGAGTAGGCTGCAGGATGGACTCGGAGGAGCAGCCTCTGGGAATTCAGGGAGATCTTGGGGAGGGGCTGGGCTCCTCTCATCTATGGAATGAGCATTGTGCCAGTTCATTTGGATATTAAAGTAAAAATGATCCTTGAGGCCTGGGAGATATCTTGGCAGATATCTTGGCAGATGCTGGTTATGTGAGAATTGACTTGCTGTGTCACCATTTAGCCAATGGAAACTCACCCATGCATGTTTGGGTAGTACCATTTCTGGTTCATGCTTTTGAGTAATATTAGTAATATAAACACAGCCTCAGGCAGGTGGCAGAGGAATAGCGACAAAATGAGGCTGCTGTTAAACCACTATTACTACAAAGACCTTCTAACTTGGCTTACTCTGTAAACATGTGTTTGTATTACTGGCTTGGTGTCTTCATTTATTAATTTGTTATATCATGATTTGGATTTTCTGTTCCAAACTTTGTTTCTTTTAGTGAGGGTTTGGCTTGATCAAATATAAGGTTCTTTGGCTATTAATAAAGTTATATGTGGCAAAACCAATTGTGTGTAACTAGCACTCTTCTAGACACATCGTTCTGCGGCTTACTTTTTTGCTCAACATTATGTTTTCGTCATTTATCCATGTTGGTGGATGTGCTGGGGATTTACTCTTAAGAGGAAGTGTCAGCTACCCAGGATAACTCACCTCCAAGGCTGCACTGGCAGAGGTTTTCTTGTAGATCACCTTTTCAGGATGCACAAAAGAAAGCAATACAGAAAGGAGAACACAGGGAAAAAGAAAAACCATGGAGACTGGAAACTTAGCTCTCAGTAGGGGCCTGGGAAATTTGGTTTAGCTGGGCCCACTGAGGGCAAAGGGCACTGGACTTAAGAAGATGCCACATATCACAGGGCGGCCTCTGCTCAACAAACCTAAATGGGAGCCTCACCTTCTTTGCCTCTGGGGAACCGGATGGATGGATGGATGGATGGATGGATGGATGGATGGATGGTTGGATGGGTAGGTGGGTGGGTGGGTGGGTGGATGGATGGATGGATGGGTGGATGGGTGGGTTGGTGGATAGATAGATACAGATAGATAGATAGATAGATAGATAGATAGATAGATAGGTGATAGATAGATAGATAGATAGATAGATAGACAGAATTTTCTTCCCTCCATTTTGTCATTCTTTTCTCTTATTCGAATGTTTGTCTCCTAGTTCTTTGTCTAATTTTCCTCTCGTATTTTCTATCTCTTTGTCTTTTTGTTTTACTCTTGAAGGATTTCTCCAAAAAGCAACATTAACATACTCTTTAGAGCTGTAGAAGTAAAGACCAGAACACAAGAGTTAAAAGCTGTTGCATCTGAGGAGCATGTCTGGATAGAAGGATGGAAGTGGGAAGACAGGGGGCTGAAACTCCCCACTATAAACCCTCTGAATCAGTTGACCTTTTAACTATTTGCATTTACTTTGGTAAAATTGAAAAAAGACTCAATCAACCATACAAGGTAGCTTCCATGAAAAGCCATGGCTCAGATCTCAAATTCAAAGAAATTTCATTCTCATCAGTTTCCTGGGGAAGAAAGAGGAAGCAGAATGATGTCAGAAAGTGAAACTATGGGTCGCTTTTCAGAACCATGCAGAATGATAGGTATTTTGCAGTTGTGTTCTTATAAATCGAATGGATTTGATTTGCCATTAGATGTTTCGAGTGTGTTCAGTGCACCAAGCAGTCTGCAAGTGCTTTCTTATCTCTCACCTCATTTCATCCTCACCACCGCACCCTTTTCCAGACAGGGAGCTGAGATTGAGGTGAAATGACCTGCACAAGGCCACCCAGGTAGGAAGGAGGGTGGAATGGCTTTCTCTCTATGTCACAGGGCTTCCTCTGTGGATGTTAGTCATGATGCCCCCAAGTCATCAAGGAAAGACCAAATGGCATTCAGGATATCTTACTTTGTGTGTGTGTGTGTGAGGAAGATTGGCCCTGAGCTAACATCCATTGCCAATCTTCCTCTTTTTGCTGAGGATGATTAGCCCTGAGTTAACATCTGTGCCCATCTTCCTCTATTTTGCATGTGGGACGCCTCCACAGCATGGCTTGGTGAGCAGTGCGTACGTCCGTGCCTGGGATTCGAACCTGCGAACCCCAGGCCACTGAAGCAGAGAGCACGAACTTAACTACTACGCCACTGGGCCGGCCCCTGGATATCTTACTTTAAAAGGAGCATTGCTATGGTAGTAATATGGTGGTGTGAGGGGCCAAGGAATTCCCCAGAATGAATGATCAGGGCCACAATTGAGAGTAAAAGTCCCAAGTTCCCCACATTCTAAGACTGGAGAAACAGCACTCTTCTCCATGGATTGCTGAGAGATGCCTTTTCAACAGAACCAAGAAGAGCTTATCTTTTTGAGAGAGTGTGGCTGAGGGAGGGGAGCCCCCAGAGAATCACATCCATTCCCGGTTGGATGTCCTCTGGGCTCCCAGGCTATTTTAATGGCCAGGGTGCCATCAGAGAGGAGAGAGGAGCTCTGGGGAGAGACAGAGGGGAGTACAGCCATTGGGGGGCATGTAATGGGTGCATGATCAAGTTCAGGCCCCAAACAGTTATGGAAGCCGAATCCCACCTGTGTCGGCAGACCTGGAGCAGACAAGATGGAGGGGTGCAGGCCTCTTGAGAGCTACTGAAGCATGGCGCAAAGAAGTGTTTGCATGAGAAGGTGCTGGTGGTCAGCCCAAAGACGCAGGCGAGTCTCTCAAGGGACCACAAAGGATTTCTCAAAGGCCAGGGGTTGAGTCTCCACCCAACACCACAAAGTAGATCGGCAGCAATGGCTCACTAATGGGAGACTTGCTGTGGAAAACTGTCCCTGACTTTCCTCCTCAACCCAATACAGGGAAGTAAGGCAGGGGAGTGGTGCTGAGGATGCTGGGGCAGCCCACCCCTCTCTCTAATCCCCTCACTGGGGCCAAGCAAGGAGCTTTGAGTCCAAGGTAAACTGAAGTTTTAAAATGGGCATGACTAAATTTTTAAAACCGAAATGAGCCTGCTTGGCAATCAAAAGTAACTTGAAAGTTTTGGAATTGGACTGAAATGTCATTAGGGGAGGCCACTCCCCACTGGAACAAGGTGGGGGCCCAGGCAGCAGCAGTCATTAGAAACAAACTGCATTCGTTTCTTGTGGCTGCTCTAAAAAATGATCATAAACATAGCGACTTAAAACCACACAAATGTATTGTCATATCGTTCTGGAGGTCAGAAGTCCAACATAAGGTCACTGGGTGAAATCAAAGTGTGGGCAGGGCTGCGTCCCTTCTGGAGGCTCCACTGGAGAAGCCATTTCCTTGCTCTTTTCAATTTCCAGAGGCTCATGACCCCTTCTTCTGTCTTCAAAGCGAGCAGTGTCGTG